CGAAATAAGGTGGGCTATGTCAGGGGATGATTGTAGAGAATTGTGACGGCCTGTGGAGGCATTCCTATTTGTTTAATAATGTGATTGTGGGTTGCTTACCGGTATGAGCTTTATCGCTTGGAAGTTGTGGGGAAACATCGCACGTGCGGTCCGTTCTCCTTTTCATGTTTTCTGGTTGGTAGAATTCTGTTAAAAACACTTGCACAAGCATATACGTAGCTGAACACTCCTTTTAGAGATGAATTCCTCCTGATTTTGCTAAGGGTGGAGGTACGCCCTCGTTTATCCATTATATTTGTGAGAGTGGCCCTAGTTAGCCAGTTAGTTGTCGGTATGACCATGAGATTGATGGGGCATAGGATGCCAATTGTTAGATTTCAGATGCTGGGTCTTCGCGAGTTGTGGTTTGTCCGAGACTTGGCGAAATTGTGGAAGAGTTGGATAAGACCTTTGTGAACATCATTGTAGGATATGAGTTATTGACTTGTTTTCCCATTGCTGTGTTGTGACCTTAGGATTTGGATTGTGATTCTGCCGTCATTTCCTATCCTCATTTATTATATTCTCGTTGTTACTTGTTGTATTTTTCCCTTATTGTGATTTGTAGCATTCTTGGTCATTCATGCAATCCTTACATATTTATATGTCATTTCCATTATTCCTATGATTATACTGTTTATTGACCGGTAGGTGCCTTGACTGTTCCTCGTCACTACTCCACCGAGGTTAGTCTTGATACTTACTGGGCACCACCGTGGTGTGCTCATGCTACTCTTCTGCACATTTTTGTTGCGCAGATACAGGTACTCCCACTCAGTTCTGTCAGCCTTGGAAGGAGGCGTATCGGTAGAGACTTCGAGGTATATCTGCTACGTCCGCAGACCGAGGAGTCCCTTTCCAGCTTTCTGTAATAAGTATAGCTATTTCAGTATTTCTCCTTTGTATAGATATTCTTGAGTCAGAGCCTCTTATGTATCCCTTAGCTTGTGATTTGTGAGTTTTCGGGTTTTGGGAATTGTTTTAGACTTGTGATGTTGAGTTGTACTTGCCATGCGGCATTCGGTACAGTTTCCTTTAGATATTTGGTTTGATTTTCTCTATTTTTCCGCAATTATTACATTTCCGCAAATGTTAGGCTTACCTGGTCATGGGGACCAGGTGCCGTCATGACATGTTCACGGTTGGTGAACTAGGGTCGTGACAAGTTGGTATCAGAGCTCTAGGTTCATAGGAGTCACAGATCACAAGCCGGTTTATTAGAGTCTCGTGGATCGGTACGGAGACGTCTGTACTTATCTGCGAGAAGCTATGTAACCGTTAGGAATATTCCATTTCATTTGATTTCCCTGTCGTGCGAGATTTTTGACACGCCCACTGCTACTACTACCCCAGCCATTCAGGAGGCTTTGGAACAGTTCATGAGTATGTACACCACTTTGGCTCAAGCAGGATTGCTTCCCCTTGCTGCAGCCACATCCCAGGCCGGGGGAGGAGCACAGACTCCCGCCGCCCGCACTCCTGAGCAGCGAGCGCATGTTGAGCAGGTCCCAGAGATTATTCCTGCGCCGCCTGCGGCACCAGTTCAGCTCGAGGGCATGGCAGCGGCTTCGGAGCAGGAGCAAATGAGACTAGAGAGGTTCAAGAAGTATGATCCTCCGGTGTTCAGTGGATTAGCATCAGACGATGCCTTGGGGTTTCTTGATGAGTGTTACCGTATTCTCCGTACTATGGGTATCTCTGGATCGAGCGGGGTCTCTTTCAATACTTCTCAGCTTCGAGGAGCCGCCTATGATTGGTGGCGACCTATGAGTTAGACAGCCCAGACGAGGCAGCTTCACTGACTTGGACCCAGTTTTCAGATATGTTTCTGAGAGAGTTTGTTCCTCAGAGCCTCAGGGATGCATGGCGCGCGGAGTTTGAGCATTTGCGCCAGGGTGCTATGACCGTCTCGGAGTATGCTGTCCGTTACACCAGTTTGGCTAGACACGCCTCAGCCTTGGTTTCTACTGTTCGCGAGAAGGTTCGTCGGTTTCCTTTAGATATTTGGTTTGATTTTCTCTATTTTTCCGCAATTATTACATTTTCGCAAATGTTAGGCTTACCTGGTCATAGGGACCAGGTGCCGTCATGACATGTTCACGGTTGGTGAACTAGGGTCGTGACATTTATCAAGAATGATGATTTCAAGGTACACCATATTCATTCAAATTAATATGGATGGTTTGTTTATCAAATCTCTACCACCGATCTTTTGAAGATGGTGCACAAGATTGGAATGCGAAGGCTCAAAGATGTAAATTGATTGTCTCATCAGGTGGAGCTAATACACATTGTACTCTTTTTTTCTTGCAAGGTTTTGTCCCACTGGATTTTCCTTACAAGTTTTTGACAGCAACCCAAAAGGCGTATTGTTAGATATGTGTACTCTTTTTTCTTCACTAGAATTTTTTCTCACTGGGTTTTATTTTAGTTAAGGTTTAATGAGTCACATTATCTATTGAATAGACATTTAAGTGAGAGTGTTATAAATAATATTTTATTTATGGTGAATGTCTATCTTTTAGAGAGATTTTAGAGTTTGTTACTTTTCCTCTATAAATAGAGGAGTTCTATTCCACTATAATTTATCCTAAAATCAATAAGAATTCTCTCTCTTTTCTTTGCAATCTTTTATTGTTTTATTTCATATATAACTTTTTTTGTACAAAATACTATCGAAAAACTACAACGTACATACAACTTATATATAATTTGTTATTTGTATATATTTTGTATATCGTTTATACACCCGATATACAAATATATATAATTTATTTATCTCTTATTCTTCGAGTTTCAATCTGAAATTTCATTTAAAGCCAACTCGAATCTTCACCAAATTTCCTTAAAGTTGAAATATACCCTTTACAAGATATTCTTAATCATTTGCAACAACATGCAGTTCAAACAAGTACTAACAAATTTCACAAAATCATATTTTCTAATTTAAATGTTTTAAGTTTTTTAATGGTTGTCAATGGAGTTTAGACGAGTGATTTTATTGTGTGCCTCACACAACTGACATTAATTGTGTGAGACCTCTTTTTATTACACACATTTGTGGACCCATAACTTACATATTTGGGTCCACAAAATTCTGGGACCACAAAGTTGTAAGACAAAATAGAGGCCTATACAACTAGCGTCAGTTGTGTAAGGCACAAAATAAAAATTTTCAGTTTAGACTCTTAACTAATCACATGAATTTATTTTTCAATGTCCTATTCTGCACAATATTATCTCTAGTTATCTATCGTGAAAAGACCCTCACTTAAAAGTTGAAACAAACCAATTTGCTTCAAAGCAGGACTTTTGGTTCAGACAATTATCGGTTTCTAGGTCCAATAATTTTGATCTAATTCAATTGAGAAACTTGAATATAAAGGGAAACGCACATTTTCTATTTGCTTTGAGAAGGGAATTTCCTGCTACATATTAAATTGAGAAATTCGAACGCTGCGCAAGTCATTTAGGAACTTGAAATTTAGGAGTGGAGAGCATCTCGAAGAGCATTAAAAGGTCATTAAATGGCGACAAAAAATAACCATGATTAATACTTATTTTTTACCAAAATAAATCTTACTCTCTCCGGTTCACTTTAATTAATTTTTGGCCATTTTTTTGTGGTCCAAAATGTTTAATTTCAAAAATCAAGAAGGAATTAACTCTTTTTTTTCCCCAAAATTGTCCTTGGAGTAAAGAGCCTAGGAATATTTGTTATATTTTCATTGAATAAATTAAGATCATGTCGTCAATTTCATTGTTAATTAATACTAAAAAATAAACTCCTTAATATGTTTGAAAATAACAAAAAAAAAAAAAAAAGTTAAAGTGGTCCGAAGGGAGTATCTCTTACTTGAGCAATCTCAACACGGGTTGAGTGACAACATGACACAAACTTGTTATTCCCTCCGGTTCACAATAAGTGTCCAATTTGCTTTTACCACGCCCATTAAGAAAATACTAAATTCCATACAAAAATACCTACTATGACTAAACTACCCCTAATTAAACGTTTAATGTGAGGAGTAAGAAAACTTTTTAGGGATATACACATAGGGGTTATTTTATAAAAACAAATTGAATTCTTTCTTTATTACATAACTGGACACTTATTTTGAACCAAAATAAAAAAGCAAATTGGACACTTATTATTAACAGAGGGAGTAACAAATTGGAGCTGGGTGGAATGACCGAATAAGGGAGGAAGAAAAGGGTGAGAAAATAGAGAAGTTTGGATTTTTTTTTTATATTTTTTTTTTGCATGTAAATGGTAAATTATATATGCTAATGTAATTAAATGATAACTTTTTTTGAAGAAATAAATTTATAATGTACTATAAATAGATAAATATTCTATTAATTTTCGTAATTAACCATTTTTTAGTTCAAAGTCGAATCGAGAATGGGCCGAGGTTCTAATTGATCCTATTTTTGTTAAATTACAGCCTTTTAATTATTTTTTTTGTTTTGGAAAAATATTAGCTATGTCCATTCATAAGTAGCTTATTACAAAAATTGATCAATTTATAAAATATTACTAATACTAGCCAAATAGCTATTTGTAGCCAAAAAATCAAATTTTTGCTTTCTTTTGAGGCTGTTAATAAAATAAATTGGGTATATCTTAAGGAGCTTGATCTCAGTTGTGAGATGATTTAGTGGAGTTTTGAGGTAGTTTGAATTAAAAATTCAAAGTAAAAGAAGAACATGAAAAAATGAATATGTGTATTACACTGTATATCATTTGTGTATCACATATTCTATTCTACTTATATAGAAGAGCGCAGAAGTAGCTCTCCGTCGACGTCCCTGCTTGCCGACCAAGGACTATTTTAGTCATTTCAGTGTACTGTTGTGTTGAATTCTCTATTATGTCCTTATATCTTCTAGCGCACACTCCTTAAATTAACAAGGGTTACATAGTCATTTTATACCTATACAACCTGACAGCACCGCTACACAGCTCATGTTATTCTCTCTCTTCAGTATTCTCAACTTATTATCTGCGATACAAGTTGTAACCCCGTTCCTCCATGGATTTTGCAGTACTTTCGCATTCATAGCTTAAAGGAAATTAACTTCCATTTGTAGATGCTCTACCATCTTCTTCACAAGATAAATAGGGTTTTGGACTTCTTCGCTGCTCTAACTTTATTGCATCAAGGTAATCACTTCATTTCAATTTACTTCACTGATCTGATATATACTATTTCATCTCCTCTCTTCATCTGGTAGGAATTTTTATTTTAGAGGAAAAAATTGTTTGACTTTTCCCTATTTTGAATTTGTATAGTTGCCGAAAGGCTGAATAAATGAGTTTTTGCTGCTTGGTTGGAACTGAAGAAAGCTGGGGGGGGGGGGGGGGATTCACAATGGTGCTTGCTTTGAATTTTAGTATATTTACGGAAATTTATTGTGAGAATTGGTGTGGACTTACAGAAATTTTATTGTGAAAATTGGTATGTAAAAATTGTTTTTATTATTCTTTGTGCCAGGAGGGGAGGTTAATTACGTTCTTAGGACTCTGTGTGTTGAAGATTTTCTGGTATTTGCATTAAAACAGTGTGTTTGAATCTCTAATTTTTGGTACAATTTTTCAGCTTTAGTGGTATGGCAAACCTCTAAATCTAAGTTTTAAATAATGAAGCTTTAGAATGCACTCATTTCCAAGACTGAGGGAAAATTAGATTACTGTGATGAACACTTTTGTTGGTTATTGCACATTGACACATGTTAACATAATAGTAAAATTGATAGGGCCAGGGGAAGAGATGGCTTTCGCTAATCATGCTATAAAAGAATTATATTTTGTTGTTGTTGGTGTTCCACATGTGCCTTAACTATCTTCTTATTGAACTACCTTCTCCAAATGGTTCACATCATTATGGATTATGTTTTACCTGTCTTCCCTTCCCTTGGATGGACTGCTTTGTCAGTAAAGCAACAAGCATTTAGCTATATAAGTGATCTGCTTCAAATGAAAGGGCAAATTAGCCAAAGAATGAGACTTCTAAGAGGAAGAACAACTTGGATGACCCTGCCAATTCGCAAAATATTTAGCATTATGCTAGGAAGGGATTAAGCTAATCCACTTGCACTTACTTAGGAATCTAGAAATGAGTTAATTCTAGAAAGGGATAGCTTTAAGAAATGCTTGTTGCCTTTTGTCCTAATTTCAGGAAGCTTTCGGGTGTAACACATTGCTTTGCTTATAACAAGACAAATAGTAGGCCTATCTTGCTTGACTATGAGGGTACTAAGAAGCCTGAGGATAAGGTGAACAAATTCCTTGGTAAAGAAGTCAAACCTCAGTGTTGAATGGTTATTATACACAATATAAGGTTCTACCGTTAGTTTCAAATTTGATGTCATTTTGTTTATTTTCGATTCCAGAAAAAATTTCAAAAGTGTCCTATGTTTTGGTAGCGTTGAAAAATGTAAAACAAATGCAAGTGGGTTTACAATACTTAAAGAGGATGTACACTATTGAAAGAATACGAAAGTAAGCAAAAAAAAATCTGAATTGGTAAAATATCGTGGGTCCTAGAGCTTCTACAATGGATAATTTTCATATAATTTGATGGATGTGGGTAGGGATTTTACAGTGAGTGGCAGGGGTAAGGATTCTTTGAGCCACTGGTTATCTCCATGTCCAAGACTCGGCTATCAGCTGAACATGGTTATTTTAAAAGGTTTGACATTGTTGCTTCTTTGGTTTCATCAACACATATTAGATTATTATCTTCTTATGTCTTTTTCAACTAACTGTTTGTATCCCTTTAATTTAATCCTTTATTTATGTGGAATAAGATTTACAATGGGAATCACGCCCAACAGCTGCAGACATAGACTGAAAAGAGCAACATTACCTATTATGGAGCATTATACAGAAGCAAGAGATTGTTAGTCAATAGATCAAAAGGAAAGTGCTCTGGCATAGCATCATCAAAACTCGATCCTGACTTTGGTGTATGGCAAGCAAAAGAACTTCTTCATCTATCAACCCTCTTTTTGCTTGATAAAGTACAAATGTTTGCATCCAATGTTGATCAGAAATCAAGTATGGCCTAATACTATCTTAATGATATAGTCGAAGTTACAAAAATGCTTCAACACCTTTCAAAAGAAACTGCAACACTAAGTGTTTCTGTTGATAAAATATAAGTATGACGTACTTATCAGGAACTGCACTTTTGTTCTACTGTTTGACATGTACTTTTTTTTAAATTACTAGAGTTTTTTACGAACGAGATATCCAACAACTAGAAGAAGGAAAAGGATTGAATAGAGGAACTCCCGAGCATTTGGCGATCTCAGATGTGTCGATATCAATGGTGACTCATTATTTCGATGAATCATTTCTTCGGACAAAAGAAGATTAGTAGGTAGTGGTTATGATCGATTTGATAGAAAGGAAGGAATAGTCTGTATTTTTCGTTGGGGATTTCCAGGAAAAAATCGTCGCATATTCCTCCGATTCCTTATAAAAGATATTCAATCCGTTAGAATAGAAGTTAAAGAGGGTATTTATGCTCGTCGTGTTCTTTATATGGACATTCGAGGCTAGGGGACCATTCCCTTGACTCGTACTGATGAGAATTTGACTCCACGAGAAATTGAACAAAAGGCTGCTGAATTAGAGAAAAAGGAATAAATATAGTGATAATTTGATTCTTCGTCGCCGTAGTAAATAGGAGAGAAAATCGAATTAAATTCTTCGTTTTTACAAAAACTTTACAAAAAAAAAAGAGTAAGCTTGTGACACGTTCACTAAAAAAAAAATCCCTTTGTAGCCAATCATTTATTAAAAAAAATTGAAAAGCTTAACACAAAAGCAGAAAAAGAAATAATATTAACTTGGTCCCGGGCATCTACCATTATACCCACAATGATCTGTCATACTATTGCTATCCATAATGGAAAAGAGCATTTGCCTATTTACATAACGGATAGTATGGTAGGCCACAAATTGGGAGAATTTGCACCTACATTAAATTTTAGAGGACATGCAAAAAGCGATAATAGATCTCGTCGATAATATTAATAAAAAAATCTAGATGCTTATGATTCAGTAGTAGGAGGCAAACCTTATGCTAAAGAAGAAAAAAACAGAAGTATATGCTTTAGGTGAACATATATCTATGTCTGCTGACAAAGCACGAAGAGTAATCGATCAAATTCGCGGCCGTTCCTATGAGGAGACGCTTATGATACTAGAACTCATGCCCTATCGAGCATGTTATCCCATTTTGAAATTAGTTTATTCTGCAGTAGCAAATGCTAGTTACAATATGGGTTCCAAATGATATTGAGCATGTTTCCCATCTCTTCTCGAGAAACAAGTGGGCTATTTCTTTGCAAAACTGTGCTCAATTTCATATGTGGCAATTTCGCCAAGATCTCTTCGTTAGTTGGGGGAAGAATCCGCCCGAATCGGATTTTTTGAGGAACGTATCGAGAGAGAATTGGATTTGGTTAGACAATGTGTGGTTGGTAAACAAGGATCGGTTTTTTAGCAAGGTACAGAATGTATCGTCAAATATTCAATATGATTCCACAAGATCTAGTTTCGTTCAAGTAACGGATTCTAGCCAACTGAAAGGATCTTCTGATCAATCCAGAGATCATTTGGATTCCATTAGTAATGAGGATTCGGAATATCACACATTGATTAATCAAAGAGAGATTCAACAACGAAAAGAAAGATCGATTCTTTGGGATCCTTCCTTTCTTCAAACGGAACGAAAAGAGATAGAATCAGGCCGATTCCCGAAATGCCTTTCTGGATATTCCTCAATGTCCCGGCTATTCACGGAACGTGAGAAGCAGATGATTAATCATCTGTTTCCGGAAGAAATCGAAGAATTTCTTGGGAATCCTACAAGATCCGTTCGTTCTTTTTTCTCTGATAGATGGTCAGAACTTCATCTGGGTTCGAATCCTACTGAGAGGTCCACTAGAGATCAGAAATTAGTTGAAGAAACAACAAGATCTTTCTTTTGTCCCTTCCAGGCGATCGGAAAATAAAGAAATGGTTAATATATTCAAGATAATTACGTATTTACAAAATACCGTCTCAATTCATCCTATTTCATCAGATCCGGGATGTGATATGGTTCCGAAGGATGAACCGGATATGGACAGTTCCAATAAGATTTCATTCTTGAACAAAAATCCATTTTTTGATTTATTTCATCTATTCCATGACCGGAACAGGGGAGGATACACGTTACACTACGATTTTGAATCAGAAGAGAGATTTCAAGAAATGGCAGATCTATTCACTCTATCAATAACCGAGCCGGATCTGGTGTATCATAAGGGATTTGCCTTTTCTATTGATTCCTGCGGTTTGGATCAAAAACAATTCTTNCTATGTCTGCTGACAAAGCACGAAGAGTAATCGATCAAATTCGCGGCCGTTCCTATGAGGAGACGCTTATGATACTAGAACTCATGCCCTATCGAGCATGTTATCCCATTTTGAAATTAGTTTATTCTGCAGTAGCAAATGCTAGTTACAATATGGGTTCCAAATGATATTGAGCATGTTTCCCATCTCTTCTCGAGAAATAAGTGGGCTATTTCTTTGCAAAACTGTGCTCAATTTCATATGTGGCAATTTCGCCAAGATCTCTTCGTTAGTTGGGGGAAGTATCCGCCCGAATCGGATTTTTTGAGGAACGTATCGAGAGAGATTGGATTTGGTTAGACAATGTGTGGTTGGTAAACAAGGATCGGTTTTTTAGCAAGGTATAGAATGTATCGTCAAATATTCAATATGATTCCACAAGATCAAGTTTCGTTCAAGTAACGGATTCTAGCCAAGTGAAAGGATCTTCTGATCAATCCAGAGATCATTTGGATTCCATTAGTAATGAGGATTCGGAATATCACACATTGATTAATCAAAGAGAGATTCAACAATGAAAAGAAAGATCGATTCTTTGGGGTCCTATTTTTTTATAAATCTCTCATTTTCCGAATTTTTTCATTGTCTTTAGTACGATCTGGCTTCACACCTCGCGGTGCTTACACCTCTCGCCTATCGGAACACCAACCCAATATCCTAGTCTTGGTTTCGATTTTTCCAGATGTATCAGAAACCCTTTACCTTATCCCTACCCCCCCCCCCCCCCCTTTACGTATAATATACTAAGTGGTGGACAAACAAAACAAAAAAAGAGAGGAAATTTTATTAATTAAATAAAACTTCTTCAATCAACTTATCTTATCCAGAGCTAAGCCTTGGCTAAACCTTGGAAATCGTAATGCCATAATGCTTTTCAAATCCTCCTAGTCATTATCCTACTGCAATAATTCTTGCTAAGAAGAATGTCCATGTTGTGGCAGTTCCACCCAGAAGGTAATGGGTTACTCCTACAGCACGTCCTTGTATAATGCTCAAGGCTCTCGGCTGAGTAACAGGAGCAACCTTTCGAACAAAATCAAGACAAAGAAAAGAGGTCTTCTTTATTTTTCTTGATATTCTTGGCTCTTCTGAGCCCTTCCTTTACTTTAGATAAAGAAATAAAGGAAATTGATGATAAAAGTTGTACATATCTATATAATATAGAAAGAAGAAAAGAGAGAAAGAAAGTTTATTTCCTTTATCTTATGTGCTAAAAGGATAGTAAACAACATCTTTATTATGAAAATGTTCTCAAATAAGTTCTAACTTATTATAGTGCTATCTAGAATTTTGTTAGAAAACTCAGCGGTATTAATGTCAAAAGCATATAGATTTTTCCTTTTGCATATGATGTTAGAGACAGAAAAATAGTTAAGTTCACCAAATTTTTTCATAGTGTTTATGCTATCTTTGACAGGTAAAATGGGATGAGTACTTTGTGCAGCTTTTTACTTTCTTTTTTATGCATGTTGGAGCTTCTTCAAAGGCTTTTGATTACGCTTTGGTTATTATTCAAGCTGGTGTTGGTGGATATGGTACTGCTCTTTGCGCCATCAAGAAAGTAAACCACCTTGCTGTAATTCTATGGTGGACTGAGTTATATAGGTGTTAGTCTTCGCTTCTGCTCTTAGTTGCAGAAGAAGACTTGTGAGAGCACCTTTATTTTATTTTATTAAGATGTATAATTTATGTTGAGCTGAATATTATCCCAAAATAATGCAAATAGTTGGGCCCGTGCATGCACGGGCCAATCCCATCTAGTGTATCAAATGTGTATTACGTGTATATCCCTGTATACCTGCGGGTGAGATACATGCGTGATACATGTTTGATACATGTGTCGCAGAAGAATTTTTTGAACTCGATTTTAACTACGAATTTTGATACCAAATCAGTCCAAATCACCTTCAATCTTCCTCAAATTTTGTATATTGACTCATCTATATATTGTTATTAAATCTCAAGCATACCCATTGAAAAAAAATCCTTTTTTGATTAAATATTTGGAATCTTGTATATATGTTTTTTTATATTTCATCACCTTATTTGTTACCTCATCCATGAAATTTTTTTTCCGTCTTGAGTCTAATGTTACTAAACACGCTTAAAAATATGGAAGGAGATCTTTGTGTGATTCTTGGAGAGAAACAACCTTATTTTTTTGGATTTTTTATTTTTATATGTGTTTGACTAATTTTGGTAAGTCTATGATTAATGGCTAGAGGTTGGTAAGTTAGAACATTTTTGGGACATTTTTGTAAGATTCCCTTTTTTATAAAATGTAAGCTGATTCCTTTTTTCATCAACAGGTAGAAGAAACTATTATTTTATCTCTCTATATTTCTTATTTGGTTCCTAAATGATCTTGTTTAGGGGCGGATGCAAGTAGGATGAAGTAGGGCCGTGCATGGATTGTATCGGATCGGATTTAGTACATTTTCAGATTCAAATTTTTCGGATTTCGGATTCTACCAAATGCAATTCGAATCCGATCCGAATTAATATCGGATCTGATCGGATTTTAAGGTTTGGATCAGATCAATATTTTGAATTTCGGACCGGATTATACGTATTATTAAGGCTATTACTAATCTAATCGGCTAATGCAACTGCCTTATCTACTTCTTCTGTGTTCTGTGCTAATACAAACATCTCTTTGCTTTTCATCTCTTTTATCAACATTGCATATCTAAAAAAATATTTTCTTGGAGGTTCGAGTTGTTATGCCTCAAAGTTTCAAACTCATACGTATTTTCTTTGTAAAAGAGGCAATACAACAAGAAAAAT